CCCCCCCGCCAACCCCAACTTTTTCACAACCATAAGATTTACACTAACATGATATCAAAACAAATTTTCCCAATGATAATTGTATCTAAACCCTATCATGAAGTCATGAATTTCTTTTATCTATAGCCATAACATTGGTAAGTCCAGGAAAAGTTGATGTGTAAGATATATTGATTATAACTAAAAGTTTTAGCAGTTATAAATTTACTAGAGTGTTTCACAAAGCTCATAAGCATCCAAGTATGCAACATTATCCTTCTCATGCTGAAATCTTGAAGCTGAGAAATCAAAGACAAACATCAAGATCAAATGGAATCAGTAGAAAGAAATGAGAGGATCAAAAAGTGACAGTTACCTCAACATTATCTGACCGTGGATAATTATCTGTATTTTGCACGAAGTTTTGATCTTTGTCGAAGTCGTGCATTTTAATTCTTTGAGGCAATTTATTAGGTTCAAATAGAATCGTATTAAAAAAATCTGTTAAGGTCATGCATTTTAATTCTTTGAAGTAACTTATTAGGTTTAAATAGGATCATATTAAAAAAACCCTAGATTCCTTATGTTAATATTTAGTGTGTATCATTGTGATGGGCATGTTAAAAAAGCCTAGATTGCTTATGATATCCGAGTTAACCCAAACCACAATTGTAAAAATAAATATTATTGCTGAAAGTAAATAGGTGGTTACCATGACACGTTTGAAAGGGAAAAATACAACAGACAAAAACAAACACAACAGAAGTGTATCCCAAGGGAGGTGGAGGTCAGCTAAGTGGGTTTGAATGGAAAGGTTGGGGGGGCAGCAGATTCAGCAATTAAGTTTTCTGGAAGATAGATGAGGTGCCATAGATCTTGTAGGCAGCTGGAACAGCAACAAAACAGCAAAAGGAAGGCGTTGCAGGCTGTGACAAGAAAGGTGGAGGGGTAGGAAAGCTAGGCCGGTAAAGTGTAAGGCCGAGACAGTGGCTAGGAAGAGGAAAGCTGCAGTAAAACAGCAAGGGCAGCTAATCTGTGGCAGTTGGAAGGTTGTGGGCTGCCAGAAATAGTAAAAGGGAGGGCTAGCGGCTGATTCAGAAGGAGAACAGCAAGGATTGTGGATGGAAGGTGGTTGGAAAGAAAACTGCAGAAAAGAACAGCTAAATGGATGCTCTAGACGGACATAGCAAAGAAAGAGGAGTGGCAGCGAAGCCAGGGGTGCAGGGAAGGTAAGGTCAAGAATAAATACTCCCTTGAGAACGAGCTACAACAAGAGAACTACTCGACCCTTAAAATAAGGCCACTACCTCAGACGAGCTACAGTTGGAGCACCACCCGTCTTCAGATACGGCCCTAGCAAGGAAAAGTAGGGATGTCGATAACTGCCCAGAAGAAAAACACGATAAAACTCCTCTCTAAACCTTATTACAATGCATATATAGAAAAGAACTAGAAAGGAATGAAAGAAAATAAGGAAAGTCGCTAAAAATTAGAAAATAATAGAAAACGGGCAACTCGGTTGGGCTTTTTCGTTCTCGTGAACTGGTGCACACGCTCGGTTCGGCTTCTGTAGTTGTACTGTAGTATGACTCGCATAAATGGGGCTCCCAAGTAGCCCCCGCGGCAGTCTCCCGATTGGGGATGCTCAACCTCAATTATCAAAGCGTTTATCTTCTCATAGTAGTCAGGTCGGCCCCGTTTAAGGTAACAGCAATGTTGCAGGCTCCCAGTAAGTCAATTATGTATGTGATGTCATTCAAAAGCACAACATAGTAGAGAAATATCCATCTACCTTTGGAACAACTTGAATTGGAGCTACATAACGGCATAGATCTTCATGAGTCAAATCTCAAGCAACTAAGTTTATAATATGCTTTTCCCACTACTTGTACTCGGTTGCATGTATCTGGCAAACAAGTTTTTTAGAATGAATCAACTCTAGAATGAAATTTAAGGTAGGCTGGACCGCACTAAAGTATAACCACTCAAGAGAGGCATGTTCTTCTCTAATAGGTATTAAATCCCATTGTAGAATTTTCTTCCCCTCCAAGCTCACAAGACAATTTTCAAAGCAATGGTTCATTTCTCCTATTTGGTCATCTGTTGGCGACTATACTGTATAACTGAATCTAATATTTGAATAGCTCTATATAAAGTTCCTGAAGTGGCACAAAAAAGCCTTATTTCAAATATGTTGGACCTTCCTCTATAGGGACAACTAAAGGAGCCTATATATCTAAAAAGTCTAAATTTCTCTTATATGGGATTGACATGGCTCTGGTATCAGTTCCTCAGACTCAAGGTCATCTTGGACAACCACTGCCAATTCGGTTGGAGACTTCTTATAGAGTCAGCATGAACTACATGCCTCTTTCTCTCATCAATTTGAAGCTAGTACTCATTTGTGTCATCACTTTCTTCGGTGTCTACTGTGTCATTACCATTTATTCAACAATGTCCTCAAATGAAATAGATCATTCATCTGGTTATGCAATTTGATTCAATATGCTCAAATTTGTGGCACTTGACACCCTTCCTAGTTATGACAGATTTGAGAATGCGAGTTGGCTCCCACCTGTCCTCCACTCATAATTAATTACTCCTCGGGCTTAGTCGACTTGGAAGCTTCACTGGATGTACTCTTTTTGTAATATCACAGGATTGAACCCAACTTGTAAAATGTGGTGGTCATCCGCTAATGTTGTCTCTCCACTTTTGAAGTTAGGATCTACACATCCTATCTTTAATGAACTGGTAGGTACTAGCATCGCATTTCCCATCACCTTGAAACAATTACTGATCTTGTCTTTTCCCTCATGATGGTGTATATGCTTCATTTTTTTTCCATCAAAACAATGCACTCCTGTTTAACTGGCTTGAAATTAGTTTCACCATTCTGTCTAATGGAACATCCTGGTATTCGAAGAAAAATTCCACGATCTTGAGCCGCTCAATGAAATCATTTGGATCTTAGTAGTCATCAAAATGTGACAAATCCAAATTTACTTCAAAGTTCTAGCTTCTCAGATATTTCATGTCAAGTCTTCACAGTAGAGGTTCTTCATCACTGATATCCAATGGTGGAAGAGACTCACTCTATTTCTTTGATCTAGAAAGTTGCCAATGTAGCTACGGGCGACCCTTTCAAAATACCTCATCTCAAAAATGACAAATCTTTGTTGTAATTGGAGGATTTTCCGCAACACATCATCTATATAAGGTTCGTAAACATCCCTTTGTAGATTTTTCATAAACAGTATCATGGCATTTCCTCCCGTTTTGATCTTCGACAATTATCTCTTTGATGGCATGATTAGTGTTTGAGGTGTAGGTAGAGGTAATGTTGTGTGTGAGGATGGCTTGAGTCAAAAAGTAGGGGAAAATTTTTTTTTATTTATCTATTTTTTTTTAGTGGTGGAGGTGGGGTTTGGGATAGGTTTAGGTATTTCGGATGCTAGAAGCCTTAGAATAGGACTAGGGTTGGACTAGCCCTGATACCAAATTTAACCCAATCACCAATAAGAAAAGCAAATATTATTATTGAAAGCAAATAGGCAGATGGAGTTCGGCTAGGTGGGCTGAAATGGGAAGGTTGGGTGCTGGAGGGTGGCAACTTCAACATGTAAGGTTACTGAAAGATGGATGAGGTGCGGTAGGGCTTGTATGCAGCCGGAACAGCAACAAAACAATAAAGGGAAGGTGTTGTTGGCTGCGGCAAGGAAGGTGGAGGACTAGGACAGCAAAGGCAGCGAAGCGAGAGGCCGGGACAGTGGCTAGGAAGAGGAAAACTGCAGCCAAGCAGCAAGGACAGCTGGTCTAAGGCGGCTAGAAGGCTGTTGGCCTCCAAAAACTGGAAGGAGGGATGGTGATTAATACGGAATGAGGAGCAGGGATTATGGAAGGAAGGTGGCTGGAAAAAGAACTGCAGGAAAAAACAGCAATGGCGGCTGTCCTGGGCGGTTGCAATGCGAAAAGAGGCGTGGCAAGAAAGCGAGGAGTGTTGGAAAGGGTTGAGAAATGAGCTATAACCAGAGCACCACTCGACCCTTAGAAGAAGATCACAACCTTCGATAAGTTACAGTTAGAGCACCACTCGCCGTTGAATATAACCCTAGAAGGGAGAAACTAAACCGATGACTGTCCTGAATAAAAACATGAAAAAACTCCGCTCTAAACCCTAACACAACGCATATATAGGAA